GGAAGCAGGCTCCCTGCTGAGCAGAGAGCCCGATGCGGGGCTCGATCCCAGGACCCTGGGATCACGACCTGAGCCGAAGGCAGAGGCCTTAACCCACTGAGCCACCCAGGTGCCCCGGAATGTTTGTTTTTTTAAAAAAATCCTTGATTGATTTATTTTTTGTGAGGCTTGAACTCCTAACCCTGAGATCAAGAGTTATATGCTCTACCCACTGAGCCAGGCAGGCCCTCCAGAATGTTTGTTTTCACTTACACATAGATGTATTTTTTTTTCACTTATGTATAGAGAGACGTTTGTTTTTAATAGGGGCCTCAGAATTGGCTTGGAGGCCCTCTGTCACCTCAGGGAGTGGGGGGGGCGGTGGCGTGGGTCACAGCGTGGGCAGTGAAACCAGGCTGGCAAACCTGCCTGCGTTCTTCTTCTGCTTCTTATGCTCGAGTCCACAAACCCATTGACCTCAGCGAGTCGGGCCCAGGGATCCCTTGAAACCGAGAGCAGAATTATGTGTGTATTTGCTTGCGTGGACGCTTATGTGGACAAGGTTTTCTGGACAATGGGTGGCATAACCTTCACCAGAATTTCAGGGGGGCTAGTGATCCAAAAGAGGAAGACCAGTGATCTAATCCGCCCCTCTTGTTTCTTCATCTTTGCAGGTGGAAAGCAGTGACACACCAAAGGACCCCGCAGTGACCTCCAAGTCCCCGTCCATGGCCCAGGACTCAGGCCCCTCAGAGCTGTTACCCAATGGGGACTTGGAGAAGCGGAGTGAACCCCAGCCAGAGGAGGGGAGCCCCGCTGGAGGGCAGAAGGGCGGGGCCCCAGCAGAGGGAGAGGGTGCGGCTGAGACCCCGCCTGAAGCCTCCAGAGCCGTGGAGAATGGCTGCTGCACCCCCAAGGATGGCCGAGGAGCCCCCGCAGAAGAGAGTGAGTCCTGGGGACAAGGGGCCGCCTCTTCTGGGATCCCCAGGATTCCCCCAAGGGTTAGAGACTGGGGCCAGCAGGCCCCAACAGGCATGGGAGCTGGAGGTCTACTTGCCAAGGCTGTACCCCGGGGGCTGCTGGCTGGATGCAGCCTGCACACATGTTTTATTTGGCCCATGTAGTGTTTTAAACATTTTCAAAAATTAGTTGCCAGTATTTAAAAATCAAGAAATTTCACATAAAAATCTGGAGTTTTGGCTTCTCATGGAAAAAAAAAAAAGCTAGATCTGGCAACAGTGGGTTTGTAGAATGCCAACAGTTGCAGGACTGGGGTGATGGCTGTCCCCCACACCCCTTTGTAGGCTGGTTGTGAGCCTCAGTTTCCCTCAGCCCTTACCTGGCCTGCTGCTTCTTCTACAAGACCTGCAGCTCTTGGGGACTGCGTGCTGAGCCCCTGGCCTGGGTGCTCCAGGCAGGGGATGCCCTCTGCCAGGAAGAGCCCACTTAGCCTGCCCCAGCACAGCGGTCTCGAACCCGCCACAGTTCAGCTGACTCAGCTCAAGTGTGGTTGTGACTGAGTGGGATGGGGGCAGCGCAGAGGGGGGTGACCGGTGTGCCAGGCCCCTTCCTCCCCAGACTTTTTGGCCTTGCCCTGGAGTCCTGGAAAATTGCCTGCTTTTCTCTTTCAGGTTAAGCCAGTGATTTCAGGGCCAACCGAGCTGTAAACATGTTAGTAATGAGGACAACTAGCATTTGTACCGGGCTTCACAGTTTACAGAGTGTTTCCTCATATATTACCACATTTGATCCTCCCGGGGCCCTGCCAGGTTGTTTTGCATATGTGCATTTTAATTCAAAAAGTCTTCCTTCCAAGTGCTGTTGATGGAATGAGTAAATCGATTAATTGGCATAACTTACTTTGCATGGATCCAAACCCAATATTCATGCAGGATTGAGAGCATTTCCAGAAAAGAGATTTCCAAATTAAAAAAAAAAAAAATGTATATATATATATATATATACATATACACATATATATGTATATATATACCTATATTTCATTCATTATTCAACTAATATTTAATGATGTTCTTGTTATGTGCAAAGCACTTCCTGAGGTACTCTGTATTCGTTCTTTTAGTCCTCCAAACAATCTTCTTCAAGAGGTATTATTATTCCCATTTTAAGGCAAAAAAAACCCTGCCACTTAGCGAGATGAAGTGACTTGCTCAGGGCACCCCTGGAGCCTGTAAGTGGTAGATCCAGGATGCATTCGGTCTTGGCTCTAAAGGTGGTGTGCTCTTCTGCTGTCCCCTTTTATTCTGCAGGGGGGCTCAGGGCTGGCTGTCCGGGAACTGCCCAGCGCTCCTGGCCTCACCTGAGTGCCTTGTGGGTGTGGGTAGGTCCTGACACTGGGTGGGAGTGTTCAAGGGGCTGGAGTGGAGGGAAACCCAGGAGAAAAGGGAAAAGAGACCCTCTTCCTCCCGCTAAGAATACCAGGTATTCCAGTGTGGAAACTGGGGGCCCATCAGTAAACCCAGCCCACCCCCGCCCCCCACCACACAGTGTGCTGATTCCTGGAACCCCACCACGACTGGCTGGGGTAAGCTGCAGGCCTTCCGGCCTGGTGGGATGGAGCTAGAGTTCTCAGGCCACTCTTAACCCTTGAGTGTTTGCTTTCACTTTGGGGTCTCTCTGTCTCCGCTTCTGTTTGTTCTCCAGAGTTCCTTCTTCAGTCAGTCAATAGGTGTTTGTGAAACCTCCATTTGGTGTGTGTATCAGGATCTGGGCCAGGAGCTGGGGAAACCATCAGGAACAAAAACCTGGTTCTTGCCTTCAAGGACCTCACAGTCCGCCAGAGAGACAGCCGTTAATGAGAAATTCACACTGAGAGGCGTGTGATTCTACAGGGAGATAGGTTCTCTAAGAGAAAATAAACACAGTTCTATGAGGAACTGTGACCAGGGAAACCCCAGCCAGCCCAGCCTGTTCCACGGAAGCGGAAGGATGACTGGGGGTTCACCAGGTGAGGGGTGGTGTAGGAGGGACTGAAAACAGGTACAGAGGCTCCCGGGTAGGAGGGAGCAGGGCACCTGGAGCGGGCCTTTGAGGACATCCTCCCGGGGCATGGCAGGGTGTGTGCGTGCGTGTGTGTGTGTGTGTGCGTGTGTGTGTGTGTGTGCGCGCGCGCGTGCGCGCGCACGCACAACATGATCTGCTTTATGTTTTGAAAAAAAATCACTTTGCACCTTGGTTCCCAGAGTGGAATAGAGAGGCTGGGAAGCGGGGTTAGGGGGCTGCTGCAGGTGTGGAGGGGAGGAGGGCGGCTGTAATGAGGTGGCAGCAGAGGTGGAGAGAAGAGGGCAAGCACCAGGAACCCAAGGGGAAAGGGGAGAGATGGTATCGGGGTGAACTCCTGGGTTTGGGATTTTCGTACATTAAGCGGGACCTTCCTCAGAATGCTCAAGGCTCCCTGACCTCCCAGTAGCCTTGGAGCATCCTGTGTTGTGTGCTTGTGGGCCTCAGAGCTGGGGGGACCCCTGAAGGCCACTGTGCATTGGCTGCATGCTGAGACTGGCGAGGTGCTGCCCCGGGGCATGGCAGTGGTCTGCTGGAGGCTCGGCGGCCCAGCCCACAGCCAGCCACACAGAACGCATACACAGCTGCTTAGTTCCAAGGAGGGAGGAGACTAAGGCCCTAGGGAGGTAGCAATTTGGCCATGGTCTCCCTTCCGTTCCCTCATTCCAGGTCTCCTCTCAGGGGACCCCATCCCTCTCCCCTAAACCCCTCCCATTAGTTCCTATACAGGAAAAACGGAGGACTTTAAGGCAGCATTCCTGTGCACACAGGTGCCCCAGATCCTGGTAGTACAGCCAGGAGAAAGAAGGAGGAACAGGGGAGATGATGAGTAATCAGGACAAGAGCCACCTGGATAGGCAGGTGGTGGCCTTGGGACTGCTCCCGCACTCCTAGCATTAATGCCGCCATGATTGTAATAGAAATGATGGTCATATGGCTTCCTTTTACTGGATATTGACTATGTGTTGAGTGTCCTATATCCCAACTACTCAAAGTGGCCCAGGGACCAACTGTGTTACCTGGTATCACCTTGGAATTTAGAAATACAGAATCTCAGGCCCTACCCTAGACCTGTGGCGTCAAAAGCTACATTTGAAAGAGATTCTCATGATTTTGATGGATAGTGAACTTTAAGAATCCCTGCTCTTTAGTTACCTGTTCTCTTGCTTAATTTTTGTGATCATATGAGGAAGACTCTTATTGTCCCCATTTTTCAGATGGGGAGACTGAGTGTTTAGAAAGGTTAAGGTACTTACCCAAGATAATATAGCTAGTGAAGGATCGGATTAGGGTCAGCACAAAGCCCTTTTCTGCTCAGATTGGGCTAGTGACTGCCCTCTGAGGCAAGCCTGGCCTTAGCCTTGTCATGGAGATTTGGGTTCCTTTTAAAGGAAATTTGGGGTGGTCCCCGGCCCCGTATAGGCTTAGACTGACAGGTAAGTGTGGTAGTGTTGGAGGCACCCTGGGCTCTCCTGCCCCCTGGACCTGAGATACTCTAGGGTCATGTCTGAGGCTGCCAGGGCCACCCTGGGAGGCACACAGCCACCTGGCCCGCCTGTGACCCTGGGTCTGGGCCAGGAGCAGATGGACTGCAGAGGGAGTGTTGAGAGAGCAGCTGACCCTCCTTGACTCAGGACAAGTTCTGCATTCTGAGGCAGGCCCGTTTGTTGTTTTGCTGGGCCAGGATGGAAAGTGTGTGTGTGTGATATCACTCAGTGGGCATGTGCAGAATCTGGGAGAAAATTCCAGAAAGAAGCCAGTTGGAAACTGCACGAGGAAAAGTACTTCTGTTTGGGGGAGCATGGGGGCCAGGGAATAGGGAAGGGGAGAACACGAAGGTGGCGGAGGATAAAGTGAACGGGCTGGGCATTCAGGAGCCCTGAGATCTGATTTCCGCTTTGTCAGTCATTCTCACCCACCCCCCAGCCTCAATTTACCCACTGGCAAAATCTAGGGGCTGGGCAGGTGCTCCATCATCTGTATAGCTCCCTTCAACCCTGATTCTCTTTCATCCGAATGAATAGATGATTCCCCATAATGAGATGCCATGGAGGGAAATGTTTGAGAGGTCAGAGGGACCCCTCTGCGGCCTAGCCCGAGGGCGGGCGCCCCCTCCTGGCAGCCCAAAGCCTCGTTGGGAGAACGTCCAGGTGTGAGAGAAAAGGGGGAGGGGGGCTAGGGACGGGAGGGGGACCCGGCTCCAGGGAGCCCGAGAAAAAAATCAGGGGAGCTATCTGTGCTGAGCAGAAGCACGGAGGAAGAGACAGCAAGACCGGGTGAGACGTACCTTCAAAGGCCTGTCGTGTAAAGTGTTAGCGAGCACCCCCGTTCCTGACGCGCGCCCATGACAGACGCTGGCGCTTCCTCCCCGCCCCCCCGCTCCCCGGGCAGCCGGCTGGGCACCGTCCCCGTCCCTGTTGTGTGGCCCGCACATGTGCCGGCGCTGGCTGCCTGGGCCCCTGCCTCCCCTCCCCTGGGCTCCCGGGGCGCTGTAACCCCTGGGCTGCCCCTCCCCTGGGGGCAAACACTCAGAACCCCAGGGCTTCTCTAGTGAGAGAGAGGGAAAGAAACTTCCTCTCCGGGGGCCGGAGGAGGCCTTCAATGCTGTGTCTGGTTTCCGCTTCAGAGCCAGGAGATGAAGTAGGGGCTGTTTTTTCCGTTTTGGGCTCCCCCACCCCAACTACCATGAGCCAGCCTCATTGACCTTCCTGCTTTGGGCCCAAGCTCAGTATTCTTGGCTTCAGAGATAGGAGTTCAGGGGCCCAGGTGGGAGGAGGGCTCACTGCCTCCCCACCCCCACCCCAGGAAGCTCTGGAAGGCATAATCACCCCAGTCCCACAGCCAGGGGTGGCTAGACTGCAAGGTGTGTGCTGGGCCTGGGAAGGGCATCCGGGTGAGGACCTGAGAGGACCAGGGTGGGAGGACAGGGATATTCTGGAGGAGTGTGGCTGCCCTCCCAAGTGGGGTCCGAACAGGGACGGGGAGAGGATGGGACTCTCCTATAGACAGAACTTCTGGGGCTTCTGCCCCCCCCCCCCCCCGGCGGGGGCCTGGGCGCCGCCCCCGCCCCCCCCCCGGGGCCCCCCTGCGGCCCGCCCCCCAAAGCGCGCGCC